ATTATTATTATTATTTAAATATAAATGATTTCATATGTATAAAAGTAGATCTAAAAATGGTTTGTTTAGTTTGTTTGAATGCATGATTAAGGCTCTGGGATTTGATTTGTAAGATTTGTTTGAATGGATGAGGTTATATACTCATCATGAGGCTGCAGCTGAAGAGCTAGAGACTGTAGACGCTCACGTAAAGTCAACAAACGTTTCTCCACTTCCCTCTTACACTGATCATAATTCCCCACTGGAGCCGGCTCATCTACCTGTGCACATGGAATTTAGCATTAAAATTACACAAAAATAATAGTAGGATCTAACATAATACATTATAAAGGGTTCAGTGAAAGTTCACAAAAAAAAATTATATATATATATATACACACACACACACACACACACATCTTATATATGCAAGAAAAAAATGTATTTAAAAAAAAATATTTTTAATTAAATTAAATTTCAAATACATGTAAATCTGCAATAATAGTCTAATATGTCTGATGACATTTATACAAATACACAGACATAAATAAACAGTACTTTAGATAATTTCTTCAGAGTCTTCATAATTTCCTCCACTGCGCGCTGTAACTCTTTGCACCTGAAATGCAAACATAATTACAAATAACCAAATCACCGCAAAACACTAGAAATCAAAGTACGCGCTATTTAACCTAGTTGATGTAGAGACGTTCAAAAACAAAACAGACAGAAGTCTTCTTTACCTCTCCAAGGTCTCTGTCCCGTCTGACGCATCTGGTCTAGCAGCCTGCTGCACCAAAACAAAACATCTATCTGCAGAATAGTAGGTAACGTTAGAGATTTATTATCAAATCCAGTGCGCACTAGCAAAAGAACAAACATATCATTCAATCAACCTTTCTCTTGATGTCATCCGTCTCTCGTCTATCTTTGGACCGTCTGAAGAGGTCCTCTCCTTTTTGGAGGCATCTTCTATTCGTCTTCAACACAACTCAACAGAAAATGTTATCATACTCGGCATTTTGAATGTGCCATTTGATAAAACGTCCCAGTCGTGCTCAGATTTAGCTAAAACAGACTGGATCGGGGGCGCCATGACAGACGCTCCAGAGAAGGTTGCTAAGATACTTTTACGCGACGCTATTATTACATCATCACTGCGCGCAAGAGCCCAAAAGTACAATTTGAGCTATGAAAATGTATCTGTGTATTTTTTCAATCATATGATTTTATTTGGTAAATTTCATATGCATAAACAAAATTTGGCTAATATATACCATATTTTTTGTTTTTATAACTAAAGCTCGTTTATTGAGTCCATTAAATATATTTGTTAAAAAAATGTTTAAATGTAGCCTATTTGTTAAGGAGTTAAAAGATAACTGAAGATCAAGAAGTGCTGCCATTCATTTCTTTTTGTTTGTTATTAATATGTTATGATATATATCTTCCTGCAATGCAGTTTTGTTATGACTGAACCCCATGCATTTCTGTTTTGGGCTGTGACTGTGTAATCTGGTAAAACAGGTTTCTTGGAAAAGTGCTTCTGTTTAAGTAAATAAAATATGCATTTATAGAAAAAAATGTCTAAAGCAGCTACCCTAACATATTTAGTTCCATAATAACAAATTATATTCCAGGTTTCTCTTGAGACCCATATTTAAATACACAAATCTGTGAATTCCAGTTCTGAAAAAGTTCTGTAATAAAACCTTACAAGCTTGTGGAAAAGTCATGGAAACTTTTATACACAATATACACTATTGTTCACTTTTCAGCTTACTTTTGTTGGCTCAAACTTAAGCTCAATGTCACAACAATAATGTGCAGATTACTTTTATATTAATGAGTCCACTGTTAATAAAATATTTCAATTTATTTCAAATGACAGAGACAAGGAAAAGCACAGACGTGGTAACATGCTTTATGGCTTAAACAAACATTGAAGAAAAAAATTTTTTTAAATACAACATTCTGCTGAGTGTTTAGTCTTTGGGAAAGTTGTATTGCTTTGCTCCAGCCTGTAGATTGTGTCTTTGATCCAAGGTTGAAAGCTAAGCAGCTACCCTAACATATTTAGTTCCATAATAACAAATTATATTCCAGGTTTCTCTTGAGACCCATATTTAAATACACAAATCTGTGAATTCCAGTTCTGAAAAAGTTCTGTAATAAAACCTTACAAGCTTGTGGAAAAGTCATGGAAACTTTTATACACAATATACACTATTGTTCACTTTTCAGCTTACTTTTGTTGGCTCAAACTTAAGCTCAATGTCACAACAATAATGTGCAGATTACTTTTATATTAATGAGTCCACTGTTAATAAAATATTTCAATTTATTTCAAATGACAGAGACAAGGAAAAGCACAGACGTGGTAACATGCTTTATGGCTTAAACAAACATTGAAGAAAAAAAACATTTTAAATACAACATTCTGCTGAGTGTTTAGTCTTTGGGAAAGTTGTATTGCTTTGCTCCAGCCTGTACATTGTGTCTTTGATCCAAGGTTGAAAGCTTGATCCTGCTGAGCGCTGGAGAGGTGCTGATAGACTCCTCATTCTGTTTGTGAAGTCAGGAATACTATATCAGGCCTTGCTGACCGAGGCACTAGAAAGTGAAAGAGCTGGTAAACCGGTTATAGCGTCACACGAAAGCCATTTACTCTAAGGACAATAATGACATTATGAAAGGCACATGTCTCACCAGGTCGGTTGCATAATATTTTGTGTGTCACGACAGGTCTAGCTTCTTCTGTGTTTCTGCGAGCTTGTCTTGTAACCTCTTTTTCCGCCAGTCCAAGAACCTTCTTCGCGTTCTGTTTGCCTGCCAGCCGGCGATAAATCCAGCCGCAAACGAAACGACTAAAGCGACCTGTAACGTCCTCTCCGACACATCGGCCATGTTCACCTCCGCTCGGCCACAGCTCGAGTTTAGAAGGAACGCTGCTGGAGGAACCACGGGTGTGAGTGGAATCTGTGTCACGTGACTTGGGCGTAACCGGCTGCATGGCCGTGACGTCAATTTGTAGGCCAACTAAATAAAGACTACATCTACCACACCGATCTAAATTTACGTGTTTGGTTGTAGGCCTTCTTTAAAAAACAGCACAGCTGCCACAAAACTCGCGTTTCAGGTACGACTATTTGCCTTTTAAGTTGTAGAACGAAACCACAGACCTTATAACCCATCACTGAAAGTTCAACAGGAAAGCCATTGCTTTAAATGCTATTTGTCTTCCGATTTTTAAGACTATAACGAAATATTGGTTAATTTAAAGTACTGTAGAAGTGTACAAGTTGAATTTGTTGAGCTAGGAAGGGCGCGTTTTATCATTCAGTTTGTGTAACGTCTGAGCCTTTGCTTTGTCTGAGGAAAAGAGATAAGAGACATGGCTAGTAGGGGTGAACTGCAAAAGTGAGACAGTTTTTGTGATGGAGGACTGATAAAAATTGAATGTTGTCATCCTTTGTGTGTTTTTGTAATGCCACCACACCCAAAAATCTATTGAAACAATATTGGATGCAATTTATATGTTAAAATAATTATAGACTTTTCAAAATAATTAGGCATAAACGTAAAGTGCTAAAGTTTCTAAAATCAGCAAAAGTTTATAAACAATTAAATCAGGTTGGTTTTGGAATACGGTATGTTGTTTGTTGTTGATCCAAGATAGTCTGACAGCTGTAACCAGCTTGATCTCGGTCCGCTTGCTAGATAAGATTGGACCAGCTAAAGACCACAGATAACCAGCATAGTCAAGTTAGAAAATAAAGCCAGGTGCCATCAGAAGTGTAACCCAAGCTACCATAGTAGATGTTATGTTTCATTAATTTGTGTTTGCTGAGATCATTTAGATGTTGAAGCATAAACCAAGAGCTTGTAACACTCCAAAGAGAAAGGAAAAATTGAAATCGCATCATATGACCCCTTTAATATTAAGTAACACATTTACATGTTCACGTTTCTCTGATGTTAATTAGGCCCTAATGGTCACATGACGTGCAGGTAAACAAATATATTTCATATTTTTTTAGTAAGTGTTTTATTTTGATTGTTGTTATTTTGACATGCTTTAATGTTCAAAAAACACATTATTTTTCAAATACTGTACATTATTGTAGGTCCTCTCTCAGATGATGCCAACCCTGAAACAACATACAGAACTACCACATTTTGCTATAAGTTTGATTGCATCATATAATAATTGCTGTTAATAGTGTTCATCGTCTGTTTTATTATGTCTTAAATTGATTTTTCCGTACATTTCTGCCATATGTACATTAACTGACAGTCACCACTGATAAGCTACCACTAAATATTGTAGAAACTTAATTTGCTGTAAAGTTGCTTTGCAAGGATTTGTATAGTGAAAAGCGCTGACAAATAAACTTGACTTGACTTATTTTAAAGGATTTATTTTAGTTTTATATTTTTATGATTTAATTATTAGCTTTTCATTAAACTTGCAAACCCCCTCAGTTCCTTCACGAAATCCCAGTTTGAGATGCACTTGTTTAATGTTTAATGCACTTCATGTTGTTTATAACAATGAATGGAATACATTTTTTTTGTTTTTATTTCACTATGGTACAAGATTATCCTATTTAAATCAATGTGATCAACGAGTTAGGTCAAAAGTAATCAAAAAGTAGTCTGATTATATTACCTTAAATGTGTAATGTAATGGATTACGTTACTGATTACAATTTTTGTCATGTTATTTGGAATCAGTAACGGACTACAATTTGTAAGTAGGCTAGTCTACCCAGCGCTGATTGTACATCAACTAACATAATTAATTCCATGACATTTATTTATTCTTTAACAACGGCTATTTCTTTTTCGTCTCGATTATAATTAGTGTTATTAATAGGACGTTTCTGAAGGAATTTCCTTAATGGCTGAAGTCAGCAGATGAGGGGTATTCAAGCCTTTCAGGTTGCTACGCAACAGCCGTCTTCTGTCACGCATGTGCGCGGTGCATAGTGGGAGTATCCGAGCGATGCTGAATCAGTGCAGGGGCGGAGGAGCAGGGGAGGCTGGAAATGGTGCAGCATCAACAAGGGGAAAAGGCGCAGCGGTCGCGCCAACGGAACTATGCGGCTCTCCTTAAACTCTCACTTTGAGATTTTACTCCGTCGACAGAAGAACAGGTCAGTAAACTGGTTTTTGTTCGCCAAGTGATTTTTTGAAACAAAGCGCTGCCGTGGCAATCCGCTTGTCCCGTGTATGTTGGCACCTTGTCAATAGTGATGCTGCGCTGGCGCGAGCCGCAGGCTTCCATATATGATGCGCGTGCAGGTGCCCAACCAGGCACTCGAAAGCAAAATCTGTCACGGTCATGACAAACTATTAAGGCACTTGGGCCTGAGTCAAAAATAGAAACTTACCTATTTGTATATATATTATTCATGGTTAAGGAAAATCATGAATAATTTACATTACATGCCACATAATGCAGCTGAACGTCAACAGCTCACGTGGCCTATCAGGGGGAGTTGTAGTTTTTCAGACGTGACAATATCCAATGCCGTTTATGTCCATTGTCTCATTGATGAACGACATATCCCAAAGTGCTTTTCGCTCCAGGCTCGAGCAGGGGAATGTTCTGCTGAATGTTAGGCATTGCACCAATGGACGGTGATCAAACGATGGTTTGGGGGCGGGGCTTAGTCTACAGGGCTGCTCATTGGAGCAGAGCGTGTTTGGGTGGGGTCCGTTCAGACGGGTCCTTTTGGCACTGCGGAGAAAGGATGTGAGGAGCCTGAGCCCACGCAGTCCTGAGCTCTTGACATTTAGTTAAGTCAGAATAATGAAGCTGCTCTCAGCAAATGCTTTATGCAATCAGAATCTCACTATCATTTTGTTAAAGTGCACTAGTTTAAGATGCAAACAAGTGAAAAACCTGCTGCACGATGCAACTGAGGTTTATTTTTTGGTCCATGCGCTTGATCTAATACATTTTATTTTAATAGACAGTGCATGTCGTTTTATTGTACAATACTGTAAAAACACGTTTTCTAAAAATAAAAAGTATGTTTTATACTTTATAATTTACATTGGAGATGTAAATTATATAAAACAAGGTTATATTCTTGCAGTGACATGTTGTTAAAATTGTGTTTTTATTAGTGAAAAGTAAGAATAGTAAAATAAAGCCAAAAAAAAAAGTGAAAAGAGATTTACAATCCCAGAGTAATATACATTATTTGTATAAATGTTTTATCTGACACATATCCACTGTATTCTAAAATAAGGGGAAAATGAGCTCTGATGGTTTATGGCATAATTATGTATGCTGAGATGCCTTCCTTAGGCTGTCCCAGTTTTTAGGGTTTAGAATGAGAGGAGGAATTCCCTGCAATCTCCTGAAATATCTTATGTGTCTCTGCATCAACTCGATGAAGGTGACAGAAGGGTTAAGGCGAGAGTCTTATAATGTGTTTAATCAGTTTTATTAATTAGATCCATTTATAACCCATTGCATTCCTTAGAGAGCAGATTCATTTTAGAAAATGAGAGTGATTGTGCTTTTATAACGGTAAACAGAAAGAAATGTTTGAAGTCTTTTAAGGATCTAAGTTAAGCACACACAGAGCCTGCAAATATAGACACACTCCTGAAAAATTACCTATGTAGGGCTGCACGATTATGACAAAAATCCCTTGAAAATGTAATTGCGATTATTAATTACGATTATCACAATTTACATTGAATGATGTTATATCATTGTTTGAAGCAACCGCATGCCATATTTTTAGATGAAAATAAACAAGCTGAAAACCCTCAAACTGAAAAAATGTTATTGCTTTTCTATAGTATTAAGCCTCAAATGGCATCTATTCATTGGATTGGTTTCTTCTTTAAATAAAAACAGTTAAAATATGCATGGTATTATAATGTCATATTAAAACTTAAAAATTAAAATTAAAACAATGGAAAAACCCTTAAGATAACACATCTTAAGCACACAGAATAACATAAGTGGACTTTGAACGATTAATTGGCGCTTTGAACGATTACATAATTGTGACATCCGTAATTGTTTAGAAATTTGACATCGATTAGTAGGGCTGCACGATTATGACAAAAATCATAATTGTCGATTATTCCCTTGAAATTGTAATTGCGATTATTAATTACGATTATCACAATTTACATTGAATGATGTTATATCATTGTTTGAAGCAACCGCATGCCATATTTTTAGATGAAAATAAACAAGCTGAAAACCCTCAAACTGAAAAAACGTTATTGCTTTTCTATAGTATTAAGCCTCAAATGGCATCTATTCATTGGATTGGTTTCTTCTTTAAATAAAAACAGTTAAAATATGCATGGTATTATAATGTCATATTAAAACTTAAAAATTAAAATTAAAACAATGGAAAAACCCTTAAGATAACACATCTTAAGCACACAGAATAACATAAGTGGACTTTGAACGATTAATTGGCGCTTTGAACGATTACATAATTGTGACATCCGTAATTGTTTAGAAATTTGACATCGATTAGAAATTTGATTAATTGTGCAGCCCTAGTTTCCATTTTACTGAGGTTAATAAGTGACTGTAACATTATGAGAGCATGCTTAAGGGTGTAGTCCGGTTCTGATAGACAAGGACTCTGTGTCTGACCGGCTCTTGTGGATACCTGATACTCTGCAGACATTACAGAAATCTCAAAGAAGCAATAGGAATAGAATTGGAATCTTTTCAGAATTCTATGTTTTTGTAAACAGTCTTTTCAGCAATGGTTTAAGACTGTTGAAATGCATGAAATTTATGTCATTTTGGCCACATTTTTGCAGTGGATGCCTTTGTAATGTATGACCAGAAAATGGGATCATTGATTATGGAAAACAGCTTAGCCCCGGATAAGACCTCCAGAGAAACATATATCTATTCCTTCTGGTATTGTATTCTTCAATCTGATGGACACAATGCTGTTTTTGTTGTCAGTTTGTCACTTGTCTTGTCTTATGTTGGGTTTGTGGATACTTATTTGAAGAGCTTAAATACTTCCTTTTTTTTTTTCATTCAAGTTGGTTTTCTCAATGTTCATTATTATTTTAGGGGGGTGCCTGTTTTTGAGCTCTTAGAATATGTACATTTTCTAGCAAAACATTTTTAAGAAATAATTGTTTACGTTAAAAATCTTAAAAATGTAAAACTGTATTTAAACCTGAAAATACTCAGAAAGTAAAAAAAAACAACAACATATCAAATCATTTAAATAATAATTACATAGGCCTATATTTAAGAATATAAACAATATTTAAGGTTCTTCATGATTTCAGTGTAACTAATATAAGCAACAGGGAGAACATAAATACAGCATTCTCAAATCCATGCTATTTTTCCATTATATTTTTTGTTCAAATGTTCACTCAAATTAAAATTAATAAAGAAAATAATTGTATTTTGACCCCACTTCAGTATCTTAGCATACAAGTTTAGCAGCTGTGTCACACACTGTGTTGCAGGTAAATGGCAGGGTTTGGTAAAGTGCTGGCCAGCCGATGCAGTGCGTAGGGCCAGGTGTCCACGGTGACGAAAACATGAACGGGGCGAGGGAGCAGATCGACATCCTGCCCTCCAACTGCTTGGTAAAAGAGCGCTGGAAAGTGGTAAGTGTGTGTCTATATTTAGGTGAGAGTGTGTTAGTGGAATAAAGATGCCCAAATTGTCTGTTGCCTTTGCTGCCTCATCACACAGGACAAAATGGCCCACATATGACAACAGATGCTTTCAAATCAACTCAGTCTGGTTTCTCTCCAAAATGCGCCCAAACCGTTTGGTTCACAGCATTTCTCCTTCAAGCAGATGTCCTTAGAAATGATTTGTGACTGTTTTACTGTAATGATATCTTTGATGGGGATTGTGGCTATCCTTAAAACAGAGTCTGACTCATTAGTGACTGACTTAAACTTAATTCTTTCATAACTCATGTGATAAAGCATGTTTAAGCCAAGACTAATCAATATGCTTAGTTCATGCTACTAGAACTGAACTGCATGGAATTTAATTCAATCTTTCATGTTAAAAAATACGCTCTGTTATTAGAGCAGCTAAAGTAACTCAGCCAATCTAATTTTGTCATACAATTTATTGCCTGACAAACAAATCCAGAACAGCTTTTCTGTGAATTTAGCTGATGTATTTGTCCTTTTTAGCTATGGGACTTTCTCGGATCTTAGATGATGTTTATTTATGATGTACAGTACGTTCTTAAAGGTTTATGCTGATTCCTTATTAAGATTCATTATTAAGAAATGTTCACTGAAAGGTTCTTTGAGGATCCCAAAATGGTTCTTCTATGTCATTGCTGCGAAAACCCCCTTTTGGAACCTTTGGAACAATTTTTAGCATGTATATATTGCGTGTGGAATAGATGACACAGGTTAAATCAATGCTCTGCCATGACTAACCTTGCTATTGTTTGTGTGTTCAGCTGAAGAAGATTGGGGGTGGAGGATTCGGGGAGATCTATGAGGCCTGTGACCTGTTGACACGGGAGAATGTGGCTCTTAAGGTGGAATCCGCCCAACAGCCAAAACAAGTGCTAAAGATGGAGGTTGCTGTGCTAAAGAAACTACAAGGTGAGGAGATGGAGAGGATGCGAATATATTTTGTGTCGTTTATCATTCTTACAATTCGATTTAAACATTATGTGGTAATATTGTTCCTTCTAAAGTTACTGGCCAGTTTTCGAGATTGTTCTATGTACCTGCCAAAGCTAATTTTTACTCTCATATGTCACTTGACAATATCATTTTGGATTATGTTTATATATATGCTGTTACACTACCATTCAAATGTTTGGGTCAGTAAGAATTTTTTTATTCAACAAGGATGCATTAAATTGATCAGAAGTGACAATATTTATAATGTTACAAAAAAATTATATTTCAAATAAATGCTGTTCGTTTCAACTTTCTATTCATCAAAGAATCCTGAAAAAATGCAGTCATGGTTTCCACAAACATATTAAGCAGCACAACTGTTTTCAACATCGATAAGTACCTGGCTGGTGGAACGATCTTCCCACCCCTATCCGGAATGCTGAATCCCTGACAGCTGAAAACTCATCTCTTTCGAAGCTACTTGACTTCATCATCATCATCATTATAAAAAAAAAATAAAATAAAAAATAAAAAAATTCTCTCTCTTTATTTATTCCTTCTCTTTCTAGCTTGTACTTATTTGAACAATGTCTAGAAACTTGGTATTACAAGCACTTCCTGTATCTGTTTGCCTCTTTAAGAAGAATCGCTTTATGTATCCCCAAATTGTAAGTCGCTTTGGATAAAAGCGTCTGCAAAATGACTAAATGTAAATGTAAATAATAATAATAAAAAAATCAGCACCAAAATCAGCATATTAGAAATTTTTGAATGGTAGTGTACAGTACATATTTGTCTTGACATAATGAGGCAGCAAGCAGGATGGTGTATGTGTAAGATATGTGATAGTTTATCTGTTAATATGCCTGTCATAATCTTTTTTTTGTTTGTTTTTTTTTTGGATGTGCTCATATGAAACGCACACAGAGACGCACTGTGACTTTCATGCCTGTCAAGGCAGTTTGCCTCAGCTGTAGTTCAGACATACCACTGGGAGTCTGTAAGGGTAATGAGCGTGAAGAACTGAAGGAAAGTGGGATTACCACACTTTTCTCTCTCTGTCTCTTTTTTGCTGCTCTCTTGCTCTCTCATGTTTTTATATCCTTCATGAAGGACACGCTGGAATTCCAAATGTCACTGCCTCTGTCTCTACCTGCTTGCTGAATGTATTTTGTATGTGTGAGTGTGTGTGTGTGTGTGTATCCACATGTCCATGCAGAAAGAAAAATGTCAGCCGTAATATGTGTGACTTCTAAGTAATATCTGTGACATTACTGCTTTCATTTCTTGTGCAGGAAAGAATCATGTTTGCAAATTTATTGGATGTGGAAGAAATGACAAGTTCAATTACGTGGTCATGCAGCTGCAGGTACAGTATTTTTATACTTCTGTTTTTATGCGTGTTTGTGTGTGTGTAAAAAAAACTGCAGTTGATTCTTTCTTTCTGTAGGAAAGGAATCTCGCTGATCTCAGGAGGAGTCAGCCTAGAGGGACGTTCAGTATGAGCACGACTCTACGGTTGGGGAAACAGATTCTGGAGTCTATTGAAGCCATTCACTCTGTGGGCTTCCTGCACAGAGACATTAAACCTGTATGTCTTACTGTTGATGATATGATCTCTTCTCTTTCCCAATCCAATTACCTGGCTCCTGTCAGCTGATAATGGTTTGTCTCCTATCCTTAGTCTAATTTTGCCATGGGCCGATTGCCGTTTACCTGTAGGAAGTGTTACATGCTGGACTTTGGTTTGGCACGACAGTACACTAATACGAATGGGGAGGTGCGGCCTGTAAGTATTACTTTTGCTTTATTTTCTGATACAGTCTTCTTCCTTCTCATATTCTCTCAATTACTATTTCTGTTTGATTTTTTTTTCTTTTAATGGAAATAACCCCCCCAAAAAAGCCGAATAAGCAGCATTTTTCACATTTCTGTTTCGTGCATATGCAGTTTTTATATTTACTTGTGATGTTTTATATTTCAAGAGTTATTTCTAGGGATGCACTGATATAAAAATTCTTATAAATACTTACAAGTTAGTAAGTATATATATATATATATATATATATATATGTGTGTGTGTGTGTGTGTGTGTGTGTGTGTTTTATATGCTAAGTAAATGTAGAGATCACATTATAATATAAAATATGAAAATGGAGTTTCATTTTGAGATTTGCTAAAGATCACATTTAACATAGTTATTCAATTTGTTTTTTAAAGACTTTAAGTGAGTATTGTGTACAGAAGTGAAAAAGGTAATCTAAATGTACAAGCATGTGAAATGAAACCAATTAATAATGGCCAACAACCGATATGGTACCGAAGTATCATGCATACCTATTTATTTAATTTTTTATTTGCCTTTTACTAATGAATTTCTATAATTTGTGTGTTTGACTTCATTTTTATGTTTCACTTTTCTCAGTTTTGTTTTGCAGTTCTGTTATGGCACTCATGTTGAATCGCATGCTCCCAAAGATGTTTGTCCCTGTTACCATAGCGACAGTCATATTGTGAGTTTTCCAAAATATTGAAAAGATTCCTTCCTTACCCTCTGAAGGCTCTTAGAAATTACCTAGTCTTCTCTAATGGTTGTGCCCTAAATGCTAAATTCTGAAACACGCCCCCTTTGGACATATCCACACCCCTGCTGTACTGTCTCATACCCACATCCTACATCCTCCTCTATTTAAGAGACTTCCTGTACGTGTGTTCAATTAATTGTGCTCAATCAGTATAGGAATCCCAAAAAAGGTCAAAGAATTCCTGTCGCTCCACCCTTCCTTACATTTCCTTCCCATGTTTGCTTTGTTTTGATTATGCATTTACTTAATCCAACCTAAGTGTTAAAGTATAAAATGAAAGTGATATGAGTTCTTATTATGAGACTCTTAAATGCTCTGCTTTAGCCCAGGACAGTGGCTGGGTTCAGAGGGACAGTACGCTACGCTTCCATTAACGCTCATAAAAACAAGGTAAGTGTAGTCTCAGCTTCAATTCACTGACTGTCTAAAGCATATTACACACGAAAATTGGTGAGTGCTGGCTGTATTTGCCTGTTTGAATCTGATTTATTGGCTTTAATGAATCTTAAGTGGGTGATTCTTGGCCAGAGTTACCACATTAAGAAAAAAAATTTTTTTTTAAAAGAGTGCGGTTTTAAAAAATTTGTATTGTTCTTAACAGGAAATGGGTCGTCATGATGATTTGTGGTCATTGTTTTATATGCTGGTAGAGTTTACTGTTGGACAGTTACCATGGCGTAAGATAAAAGATAAGGTAAGACACTTGTATCACACTCACATTAACCAGTGATTATGAACATAATGGAACTGTATTGAGTGAATTAATCCTCGTTGTACTCAGTCTTAAGAGCTTTTGATTTAAATATTTAAGACCTTCAGGGTTGTTTTTGCTGTTAATCGTGTCTGTAATGTGCATCTGATGAACAGGAGCAGGTAGGACAGATTAAAGAGCGCTATGAGCACAGGATGCTGTTGAAACACATGCCTGCTGAGTTTCATATCTTCTATGACCATGTGCTGGATTTAGATTACCACACCAAACCTGATTATCAGGTAAACTATTCAGACACACCTCCAAACACTCACTTCTTCCCACTTTTGTTTTTCAACAAGAATGATTTAACTTGATCAAAAGTGACAGTAAAGACATTTATAATATTGCCAATAATTTTACTTCAAATAAATGCATTTCTTTTAAACTTTCATTCATCATAGAATCCTGAAAAGTGTCATGGTTTAATCAAAATTATTCCATGGTCTGTTGCTCAATCAGTATAGGAATCCCAAAAAAGGTCAAAGAATTCCTGTCGCTCCACCCTTCCTTACATTTCCTTCCCATGTTTGCTTTGTTTTGATTATGCATTTACTTAATCCAACCTAAGTGTTAAAGTATAAAATGAAAGTGATATGAGTTCTTATTATGAGACTCTTAAATGCTCTGCTTTAGCCCAGGACAGTGGCTGGGTTCAGAGGGACAGTACGCTACGCTTCCATTAACGCTCATAAAAACAAGGTAAGTGTAGTCTCAGCTTCAATTCACTGACTGTCTAAAGCATATTACACACGAAAATTGGTGAGTGCTGGCTGTATTTGCCTGTTTGAATCTGATTTATTGGCTTTAATGAATCTTAAGTGGGTGATTCTTGGCCAGAGTTACCACATTAAGAAAAAAAATTTTTTTTTAAAAGAGTGCGGTTTTAAAAAATTTGTATTGTTCTTAACAGGAAATGGGTCGTCATGATGATTTGTGGTCATTGTTTTATATGCTGGTAGAGTTTACTGTTGGACAGTTACCATGGCGTAAGATAAAAGATAAGGTAAGACACTTGTATCACACTCACATTAACCAGTGATTATGAACATAATGGAACTGTATTGAGTGAATTAATCCTCGTTGTACTCAGTCTTAAGAGCTTTTGATTTAAATATTTAAGACCTTCAGGGTTGTTTTTGCTGTTAATCGTGTCTGTAATGTGCATCTGATGAACAGGAGCAGGTAGGACAGATTAAAGAGCGCTATGAGCACAGGATGCTGTTGAAACACATGCCTGCTGAGTTTCATATCTTCTATGACCATGTGCTGGATTTAGATTACCACACCAAACCTGATTATCAGGTAAACTATTCAGACACACCTCCAAACACTCACTTCTTCCCACTTTTGTTTTTCAACAAGAATGATTTAACTTGATCAAAAGTGACAGTAAAGACATTTATAATATTGCCAATAATTTTACTTCAAATAAATGCATTTCTTTTAAACTTTCATTCATCATAGAATCCTGAAAAGTGTCATGGTTTAATCAAAATTATTCCATGGTCTGTTGGAATTCTTGATTCTGATTGGCTGGCAGGTATGCATTAAAACCGTCTAATGCACAGGTAGTTCCAAGTCAGTTTAATCACCGTTCTTTATTAATGCGCTGCTTTAATTGACACACACAAATGCACACACACACACACCACTCGCACAGAGAGAGAGAGAGAGATCAGAGATCCCGCTGCGCACACAGAAACATTCAGGAGTAGGCCAATATAAACTTGTCAACGCTGACTTTTATTAATAAAATGGCTTAGACACTGGATCACTGCATTATATTCCTCAGCAACAAGGAGGTAAAATCTCTGCTTAAGTAACTAAACTCATAACTTCATTGTTTGTAGAGAGAGACGCACAGACGCAGGTAATTCACACACACAACTGTCATCTTTCTCTCTCTCTCGATCAAACTTCGATAATTAATTTAAATAAATGCTATATTTCATTAAAATAAATGTGATCTAACCGCACTATTTAATCTCTGTGTCTGATTTGAAGCGGGCAGAATGCTAGAGCTAACCAGCCGTAACTGACAAAAATAACCGTCATTTTTACCCATTCGGTCAAATATTGCGCTGAAAAGAGCAATACTAGTTTTAACTTGTCTATAACTTGGCAAATGACCATGGAATAAGCAGGATAATCAACAGCTTGCCGTGCATTAAAGTATTTTAAATGCACTTCGCGTCGGGTGGTTCTTGGCCTCCATGTCGTGCATTTAAAATCCTTTAATGCACGGCAAGCCATTGATTATCCCTTACATATTAAGCTACAACTGTCTTCAACATTGATAATAAGAAATGTTTATTTATGAAGACTGGAGTAATGGCTGGTGAAAATTCAGCTTTGCTATAGCAGGAATAAATTACATTTTACAATATATATTTTTTTAATGAATTCTTTTAAATTGCATTAATTCACAATATTACTGTTTTTACAGTTTTTTTTTTAATCAAATAAATGCAGCCTTGTGCATAAAAAACTTGTCAAAAACATGAAAAAAGAATGAAAATAAAAATAATATTAAAAATTAACTGAACAGCAATGTATATATTTTAAAAATATATACTTAAAATATACTGTAATATATAAATATACATAACATGTATATAAACATTAAATACAAATGTATTATTTTGTGCAACAATTTTGAGTGGAAAATTAATTTTCTTTCTTTCTTTTTCCTTCCTCTGGTCTAGTTGCTAATGACAGTATTTGAGAACAGCATGAAAGAGAGGGTTATAACAGAAAATGAGCCTTATGACTGGGAAAAATCTGGAACAGATACGGCCCTCCCCACCAGCACACACACGCCACCACAACAAAACACACGGCAAACTGCTGCCATCGTCGGGTAAGAATATGTACACACACACTCTTACAACAGTATCAGACCTTTTGCACAGTGGGAAGGGATTCTGGATTCTGAAGTTACTCTGGAGTGATTTTAAAAAGACTTTGATGTTATGCTGATTTGGCTCTGAATTGTCTCTCTCAGGGTGGTGAATGTGACGCCGGTACCTGGTGAATTACCGAGGGAAAACACTGATGATGTTCTGCAAGATGAACACCTGAGTGACCAAGAGAATGCTCCACCTGCTTTGATACCCAGCAGGCCAAGAGAACCTCCTCCAGCCCCACCTGCTGGTGAAGGATGGGATGAAACTGACTTCAACCGTAACAAACTCAGGATCAGCATCATCAGTAAGGTAGTATTTTTAATGTATTATGCCAAATTAGTCACATTAATTTGAATCTAATTAGTATGAAACATGATTTTAGATCAGTTGAGTGTTTAATACTGCTTTTCTTCTCAGACACAAGTAGCAGCAGAGGATGGGGAGGAGCCTGCAGGAGGAGGGAGGTCCGTTTCCCCAGCAAGGGGTGGAGAAGCAGAAGCTCAGGCCCGCCCTCCAAGGTACCGGAGAGTCAATAGCCCAGAATCTGACCGCCTGTCTGCTGCAGAGGATAGAGGCGATGCCGCAGATAAACGGTGAGGAGAGTGTATGCTTGAAAATGTATCACTCTGTTCTTCTAGCTGACATTTAGCTTTTCTAAAGGTCATTTGTCTGCATGTGTCTTGTTAGTGAGGAAAGCATGCAAAAGTGACTTCCTGATAAGAAAAGATGTAAAGTTTTTGTTTTGTACAACAATATTTTGCTCTGACATTTTGGATGGCATCTGTGAATTAATAAAGGTGAAGTGCACACTGTTCTTATTATGATAGCATATGGCATTTTTTTATGATGAAAATGGATTGGCATGCTAAAGAAACAGTTTTTATTGGATATAATGTTGCATGATCTTGAGATAACCATTTTGTTGTTGTTGAAATTTCTGATTATCTAATATTTAATTAATTAAATAATTATTAAATGATCTCTTAGGACTATTAATCAGATCATGATTATTAGTAATTATAAATTAGTAAAGTAATTCTAATAAAGCTATGAAGTAATTATAAGTATTATAAATATAATATTTAATATAATAAACAATGACCATATTTATTAGTTTCTAAACTAATTATTACATTTAATAAATAAATTTGTCACATGATTCTTCAGAAATCATTCTAATATGCAGATTTGGTACTCAAGAAACATTTTCTTCTTATTGTCAGTGTTGAAAACAGCTGTGCTGTTTTTAAAGATTCTTTGATGAAGAGAAAGTTCAAAAGAACAGCATTTATTTGAAATAGATTTTTTTTGCTACATTATAGATGTTTTTACTGTCACTTTTGATTTAATGCTATTTAAATTTTAATTCATCCTTGCTGAATAAAAGTATCCCTTTTTTACTAAACCCCATACTTTTGAACTGTAATGTTCCTGTAAATTAAAGTCTAAGTCTAGTTAAATAGTTGTTGTTATCAGTTGATTCTGTGTCTTAGCCTTTGTGTGTTTTGTGGCAGCTCTCGTTTGGACATGCTGGGTTCTCCATCCAGGCACATCTACTCTTCCCAGCCTGCTCAAATGCTCTCTTTAGAAGCTGGACAGGGAGAACGATTGGCCGGTGGCCACCATGATGTCTCTGCAGACGGTGACCAGGAAGCCCACAGCAATGCCTTCATCCGCTCAGTCCCGCTGGCAGAGGAGGAGGACTTTGACAGCAGGGAGTGGGTGATGATTGACAAAGAAACAGAGTTGAAAGACTTCCATCCTGGGGCAGAGCCCACCACCTCAGGCACCACGGATGAGGAACCAGAGGAATTACGCCCCCTTGAGGACCACGAGGAGAGGAGAAGGAAAGGACATATGCATGGAATGGGTGGAGCTGAGGCTGTGGTACGACCCAAAACGCAACGTGGGATGATGATTGTAGCAGAGGAGGAGGGGGCGGGACCGAGCCCCGCCCATTCACCTTGTCACTCGTTGCCTCATACCTGCCCAAGAAGGAGGGAGTCGGAGCCATTTGGACCTGAAGGACCGGTAAGGCACACCTGAGTGTGTATATGTGGGCATGTGTGTGTATGGGTTATCCTGATTTCTTAATATGTTTGATGATCTTTAGATGATCTTTAGATTCTGTGAGTGCATTGTTATCATCAAAGTCAGTGTGAATTTTAATAGGCAATTCATTTTAGTTCTGTAATATCACATTTCTGAGTGAAATAAGACATTCAACAACAAAAAAGGGCCGTAGCAAACTAGATAAAAGGAAGAGCAAATTATCATTTATTACTGATTATTTAGGCCTTTTTAGAATAAAAAGCTTAAATAATGTTATAAATAACAAACACAGATGAATAGTTTACAATAAATTAAAGGTGCCATAGAATGGAAAACTGTATCCAATCAGAGCAGAGCTCAACATTATTATTCATGACCCTTCCAAATAAGGTAAAAACAGGCCATTTCATTCTAGGGACAAATCCTAGGGTTGTAAATGGACATGTAAAACCGTTTCTGGAGATTTTTTGCCCTTACCTAAGCCACATACCTTCTATGTAGATATCAGAGAACAATTTAAAATATTGTATCAATGCATTCTACGGCACCTTTAAGAAAGTAAATATGGTCAATTCTGATTTCATGTTGACTTTAGACTTCTTTCTTCTAAGTACGCAACACCGTGTCTAATTTACGTCTGTACACTGGCATAGATTTAATTGTTGCAAAGATGTTATATGTTGATGACTGAATTACTGAATTAGTTTTTGTTTTGTTTTTTTCATCTATGTGAACAAACACATAGATGACTTTTTCTATGCTACAGTTCAAAATTTTGAAAAGAAAGACGCTTACTAAGGCTGTTTATTTAATCAAAAATTTGTAAAAATTGTAATATTACAATTTTAAATAACTGTTTTCTAACTATTTGCTGTAATATATTTTAAAAGGTAATTTATTCCTGTGATGGCAAAGCTGAATTTTCAGTACCTATTACTCCAGTCTTCAGTGTCACATGAGCCTTCAGAAATCAATCTAATATGCTGATTTAGTGCTCAAGAAGTAATAAAATGCTGCATTTTTTAAAAATCATACTGACCTCAAACTTTTGAACGGTAGTGTACATTTTTAACATTTCAAGTTGTATTAGTGAATAAATGGAGTAAGAGTATTGTTGTTCATATACCTAATGCATTGACTAATTTTAACAAATTGAACCTTACTTAAATAAGATTAAGTTTATGACTACTAGCATTTGTTGCACTACTGCTATTATATTTTTATATAATGACATCAGTACAAGAAAGGCTCATTTAAGCATCTGATAACTTGTAATGCAAGATAATTAACATATGTTGTTTGTATATGAGTGTTTGTTTGTATGCACCCTTGATGTACAGTATGTGTGTTATGTAAACTTGTGCATTCCAAGCTTAGTTTGCTCATTGGTCATACAGGGGTCTGTGTGCACACGTTGGCTCCTTCACAACATATAGAACATACATTCACCCATACATAAGCTAAAACAAGCCTGTCTTTAGTGTCAGACAGATGTGGGCTGGTCTTGTCCTCTGAACGAGTTACAGCACATCTATGTGTTTGTACCACCCATTTGATATAATGTTTCATTTATCTCTTGTTTTATATTGGTATGTTTTTGTGTGTGCATCACACACAATCTTAGACCAAAAAACACGCTTTTTTCAATACTTCGCGTTTAAGTTTTTTCCTCAGCCTGATTCCTCTTTTCCTCCGCTCTTATTGGTCTTTTTCAGTTGGAGGAGGACAGGCCACACCCACATCACTCATTCCCGAGGCCCGCCCATTTGAGAAGACTGGCGTCGTACATGTTTTCCTCCGCTACCATGGACACGGAGCCCTTTCCCCACGACCTCGGGGGAGTGGCTATTCAGCGCAGCCGCTCGGCTGAAAGCAGCCCCGCCCACCGACACGCCCATCGCAGACACATGCCCCTTATGCCAGGCAACCCCAGAGCCCGGCATTCAGTACTAAACCTCCCACGCCTACACATACAGCAAATGCTGGCCAAACTTATGAACAAGACATGATTCCCCCACCATCAGCGTACACAGACGCATATGTGTGATGCCGTTTAATAGAAGGGGAGCACGAATGCACACTTTTGTGCCCATAGATGAACAAAGTTTAGTATGGGCGATAAACTTGGGTCTGTGATTGTGAGATTTGTGTGTGTGTGTGTGT